TTGTAGTAGTCTGTAAAGTCATCGATCAGCCCGTCCTCTTAAGGTTTCCCATCGTCAAGACAACGGTCAATTTAAAGTGGTCCCTCCTAACCTACCAGAGGACCCAAAACAGAAAACGGGACAGTACGTCACTTTCGGCATCCGCTTCCATTTTCTAATGCGATAATTTTTGGTTTAATGTAACGCATACGGCCGAAAAGCGACGTTCTTTCCCACAGTGGAAAGAGGACAGGTTGTTGGGGGACAGGTTGTAGGACAGGTTATATGACGACAGGTTGTAAGAGGACAGGTTGTAAGAGGACAGGTTGAAAGAGGACAGGTTGTAAGAGGACAGGTTGAAAGAGGACAGGTTGTAAGAGGACAGGTTGTAAGAGGACAGGTTGTAACAGGACAGGTTGTAGGAGGACAGGTTGTAAGAGGACAGGTTGTAAGAGGACAGGATGTAAGAGGACAGGTTGTAAGAGGACATGTTGTAGGAGGACATGTTGTAGGAGGACAGGTTGTAAGAGGACAGGTTGTAACAGGACAGGTTGTAGAAGGACAGGTTATAAGAGGACAGGTTGTAAGAGGACACGTTATAAGAGGACAGGTTATAAGAGGACAGGTTGTAAGAGGACAGGCTGTAAGAGGACAGGCTGTAAGAGGACAGGCTGTAGGAGGACAGGCTGTAGGAAGACAGGCTGTAGGAAGACAGGTTGTAGGAGGACAGGTTGTAGGAGGACAGGTTATAGGAGGACAGGTTGTAGGAGGACAGGTTGTAGGAGGACAGGTTGTAGGAGGACAGGTTGTAAGAGGACAGGTTGTAGGAGGACAGGTTATAGGACAGGCTGTAGGAGGACAGGTTGTAGGAGGACAGGTTATAGGAGGACAGATTGTAGGAGGACAGGTTGTAGGAGGACAGGTTATAGGAGGACAGGTTGTAGGAGGACAGGTTGTAGGAGGACAGGTTGTAGGAGGACAGGTTGTATTAGGACAGGTTATAGGAGGACAGGTTGTAGGAGGACAGGCTGTAGGAGGACAGGTTGTAGGAGGACAGGTTGTAGGAGGACAGGTTGTAGGAGGACAGGTTGTAGGAGGACAGGTTATATGAGGACAGGTTGTAGGAGGACAGGTTGTAGGAGGACAGGTTGTAGGAGGACAGGTTGTAGGAGGACAGGTTGTAGGAGGACAGGTTATAGGAGGACAGGTTGTAGGAGGACAGGTTGTAGGAGGACAGGTTGTAGGAGGACAGGTTGTAGGAGGACAGGTTGTAGGAGGACAGGTTGTAGGAGGACAGGTTGTAAGAGGACAGGTTGTAGGAGGACAGGTTATAGGAGGACAGGTTGTAGGAGGACAGGTTGTAGGAGGACAGGTTGTAGGAGGACAGGCTGTAGGAGGACAGGCTGTAGGAGGACAGGTTGTAGGACAGGTTGTAGGACAGGTTGTAGGAGGACAGGTTGTAGGAGGACAGGTTGTAGGAGGACAGGCTGTAGGAGGACAGGTTGTAGGAGGACAGGTTGTAGGACAGGTTGTAGGAGGACAGGTTGTAGGAGGACAGATTGTAGGAGGACAGGTTGTAGGAGGACAGGCTAAAGGAGGACAGGTTGTAGGAGGACAGGTTGTAGGAGGACAGGTTGTAGGAGGACAGGTTGTAGGAGGACAGGTTGTAGGAGGACAGGTTGTAGGAGGACAGATTGTAAGAGGACAGGTTGGCATCTATAACCAAAAAATTTACACGTCGGCAAGTAAGCAGCCTCAAGATTAATGGCGACGGACCCAGCGAGTCTCCACTGGAACTCCAGCTGTCGGCAATGCAAAATAAATAAAAAAATAAATACACAGTTTATTTTAAAAATTTTCACAGTTTTCCTTTGATTATTTTAGTTCTACTCAGACGCTTACTGAAGTTGAGGGTGGTCCCAGTGTTTAACTACCTCCCGCTGCCTGTAATTGCGTCCAACTATTAACACATGGGAGAAGATACTCTGCCTGTAGCGGAACAGCGCCGTTGTCGTCCTGTGCTAATGGCTCTAATTGTGGCTTAAGATTCCGGTAAAGATATAAAGACACTTTGTGTATCATGGACACTGTGTGTATCAAGGACACTACATGTATCATGGACACTGTGAATATCAAGGACACTGCATGTATCATGGACACTGTGTGTATCATGGACACTGTGTGTATCATGGACACTGTGTGTATCATGGACACTGTGTGTATCATGGACACTGTGTGTATCATGGACACTGTGTGTATCAAGGACACTGTGTGTATCATGGACACTGTGTGTATCAAGGACACTGTGTGTATCATGGACACTGTGTGTATCAAGGACACTGTGTGTATCAAGGACACTGTGTGTATCATGGACACTGTGTGTATCAAGGACACTGTGTGTATCAAGGACACTGTGTGTATCATGGACACTGTGTGTATCATGGACACTGTGTGTATCATGGACACTGTGTGTATCAAGGACACTGTGTGTATCATGGACACTGCATGTATCAAGGACACTGTGTGTATCATGGACACTGTGTGTATCATGGACACTGTGTGTATCATGGACACTGTATGTATCATGGACACTGCATGTATCAAGGACACTGCATGTATCAAGGACACTGTGTGTATCATGGACTGCATGTATCAAGGACATTGCATGTATCAAGGACACTGCATGTATCAAGGACACTCTATGTATCTCATACATTCACGAACGAATTTTATGAGAATCATTCAGTTATTCAATTCTTGTAGCTGCGGGATTATGTGGGTAAGTTAATTTGTTAATTTAATTAACTTAGTGAGTGGACTGTATATTGGATATACAATATATTGTATATTGGACATACACCAGAATACAGCACCACCAGTGATGGTGGTGAGGAGGTTCTCTGGGTGTTTGTGGACCACAATAGATCTTGTGAGTCTAAGTGGGATAATTGTTATGACCAAAAGGAATTGTGGATAAATGTTGTTGTATTACAGTGTATTTGATGAATATTATGGACATCTGAAGTCATTCTGATGATTATCTCTCACAGAAAACGGAGAGGTGGGATGAGGTTTGACTCTGGCAGAATAAGACTGCCTGGAAGTAATATATTTATTTTATATAAAGATATATGACTATGTTTAGGTCTTCCCTACTAGGGAGTACCATGAGTAGCGTTAGGGTACAGTAGGTACTTCACTACCAGTGTAGTACCTACTGTACCAGTGCTACGTCAGCATTTAGTAGAGAAGGTACCTTATGGTACCCAGAAGACAGGAGTAGAACCCGTGGAAAGTGAACACCGGGATACTCTGACGCCTGACTGAGGGAGTGTCGTGACTGTGGGTGCCGGGCGGTGTCTGCGTACTGCATGTGTGACTCACAGTACTCCTGGGGCTACGTCCGTATTGATAACCTGGATATAATCAATAATGTCATTAGTATGATTACCAACATGGCTACCAGCAGGGTCAGTACAAGTGTAGTCAATACTATGATCAGTAACATGCGACATCGCTCCCCCCTCCCCCCCCGGCCCCTTCCCACCCCCTCCTCCCTCCCTATAAGTTCCTCCCTCCCCCCTTTCTGCCTTAGATGGGGCTGGGGAAGGGGGGGGGGGAGCTGAGAGGAATACTGAAGGAACATTGTGATAATGGAGTCAGCCAGGTGAGATGCTCACCTGCAGATCAACACTCTCTCCTACCTCTACTCTCTCTCTCTCTCTCTCTCTCTCTCTCTCTCTCTCTCTCTCTCTCTCTCTCTCTCTCTCTCTCTCTCTCTCTCTCTCTCTCTCTCTCTCTCTCTCTCTCTATGCAGGCGATGAGTCACAATAACGTGGCTGAAGTATGAAGTATGTGAGAGAGAGAGCCACTCTCTCTCTCTCCCTCTCTCTCCCCCCCCCTCCCCAGAGGTCACAAGAGACCGGTGCGATCAAGAGCCGCCTCACCTTTGGTCCAAACATATAGGTATATTGATCCTCGGAGCTTCAATGTTACTATTCTTGCATACAAATTATTAATACTTTGGCCATTTGTGCTGAAGCTTAGATTTTGTTAAATCTCTTAACCCACACACACACTCCCCCGTCCCACCATCACACCCGTCCCACTACCACCACCACTACACCCGTCCCACTACCACCACCACTACACCCGTCCCACTACCACCACCACTATACCCGTCCCACTACCACCACCACTACACCCGTCCCACTACCACCACCACTATACCTGTCCCACTACCACCACCACTACACCCATCCCACTACCACCACCACTACACCCATCCCACTACCACCCCCACTACACCCGTCCCACTACCACCACCACTACACCCGTCCCACTACCACCACCACCCCCGTCCCACTACCACCACCACTACACCCGTCCCACTACCACCACCACCCCCGTCCCACTACCACCCCCACTACACCCGTCCCACTACCACCACCACTACACCCGTCCCACTACCACCACCACCCCCGTCCCACTACCACCACCACTACACCCGTCCCACTACCACCACCACCTCCGTCCCACTACCACCACCACTACACCCGTCCCACTACCACCACCACTACACCCGTCCCACTACCACCACCACAACACCCGTCCCACTACCACCACAACACCCGTCCCACTACCACCACCACCCCCGTCCCACTACCACCACCACCCCCGTCCCACTACCACCACCACCCCCGTCCCACTACCACCACCACTACACCCGTCCCACTACCACCACCACAACACCCGTCCCACTACCACCACCACTACACCCGTCCCACTACCACCACCACAACACCCGTCCCACTACCACCACCACCCCCGTCCCACTACCACCACCACCCCCTGTCCCCCCACCTTCCACCAAAGTGGGGGACATGAGGGTTGTGGTAGCAGTGTCTTATAAGGATTCCCACGACGGTGACATGAGACATGGTGACCAAACCTGGTGGACATGGTGACTGTTTTCCCAATATGAAGCAGATGTTGAGATGCCTCCAGGAGCTCTTGGAGCCCTAGGAGCTATAGGAGCCCCTAGGAGCCCTAGGAGTCCTAGGAACTCTAGGAGCCCTAGGAGCTCCAGAAGCCGTAGGAGGTCTAGGAGCCTTAGGAGCCCTAGGAGCCCTAGGAGCTCTAGGAGTTCTAGAAGCCCTAGGAGGTCTAGGAGCCCTAGGAGCTCTAGGAGTCCTAGGAGCTCTAGGAGCCCTAAGAGCTCTAGGAGCCCTAGGAGCTCTAGAAGCCCTAGGAGGTTTAGGAGCCCTAAGAGCTCTAGAAGCCCTAGGAGGTCTAGGAGCCCTTAGAGCTCTAGGAGCCCTAAGAGCTCTAGGAGCCCTAGGAGCTCTAGAAGCCCTAGGAGGTCTAGGAGCCCTAGGAGCTCTAGAAGCCCTAAGAGCTCTAGGAGCCCTAAGAGGTCTAGGAGCCCTAAGAGCTCTAGGAGCCCTAAGAGGTCTAGGAGCCCTAAGAGCTCTAGGAGCCCTAGAAGCCCTAAGAGCTCTAGGAGCCCTAAGAGCTCTAGGAGCCCTAGAAGCCCTAAGAGCTCTAGAAGCCCTAAGAGCTCTAGGAGCCCTAAGAGCTCTAGGAGCCAGCGACCACTGTCCTGCTTCAATACCTCGTGGAGCTGAAGGAATTGTTTACACAAAGACACCGCTGAAGATGAAGAGAGATTACACACTTGCGACTTACTACGGGAGGCCCAATGGGAAAGAGAAATGGAAGGGAAGACAGCACTCGACATGATGGAATTCACTGCTGGGAAAGGTGCCGAGCTCAACGGAACAGTGCACAACACTCAAGAAGGAGGTGGATGAACAAAGTCAAGTAAATCCCCGGATTAAACAGGCGAGGCAGGGAAGCTAGAGGAGAAACACACCTGGACTAACTACAGAGAACAATAAAGAAGCCCTAAAGAGGACGAGAAATGAATACACACGAGATAGGAGAGAAGCGGAGAGGCAGTTTGATAATGACGTTGCTGAAGGAGCTGAGGAACAACCAAAGATGTTCTACATTCCTATGTGTGAAGAACAACAGAGATGCAGTACAGCAGACATCAACCCCAGGGTAGCAGCTGACATCAACATCCCAGAGAAGCAGACATCAACACCAGTGGAGGTAGGTAAGGAAGAAGACGTGTTGACTCCCGCTGGGGTATCGAACGAGGAATGGACTAACATATTACCAGTTGGCGAAATATTGAAAGTCAAGATTATTTTCTCACCTTACTTAGGCAAGATTGGTAGCCTTCGTTACTCCTCTTGTGGTTAATTATGTATACACACACACACACACGCCCACACACACACATTTACACACAAACACTCACACACACACATACACACGCCCCTCACACACACACTCACACACACACACACATACACACGCCCCCCCCCACACACACACTCTCTCTCAGCTCCCCTCACGACCCAGGGCCCCCCTTCTCCCTCCCCATCCCATACCCTCCATGTTTTCCTACTCTAGGGGAATCAACAGAAACTGTGGATGGACAGAAAAGAGTCAGCTTCAAGGTGATGTACACGAACATAGATGGGATTACAAGCAAGGCGAGTCAACTTAGGGAAAGAGCACAAGAAGTAAACCCAGATGTAATGGGAACCACGGAAACAAAACTCTCAGGAATCATAACAAATGCAGTGTTCCCCCAGGATTACACTGTAATAAGGAAAGAGAGGGAGGGTAGGGGAGGAGGCAGAGTGGCCCTACTCATGAGAAAGGAATGGAGTTTCAAGGAGATGGTTATCCCGGGCTGTGAAGGGTTTAGAGACTACATAACAGGCACCATGACCATGGGAGGACCTAGCGTAGTAGTAGCAGTGATATATAACCTTCCACCAAATGACAGAAGACCCCAGACTAGAGTATGACAGAAACAACATGGCAGTTAATAACATAATTGTGAGGGCAGCCTCTGCTGCCTGTAGAAATCGATCCCATCTGCCCATCATGAGGGACTTCAATCACGGAAGGATAGACTGGGAGAACAAGGAACCGCACGGAGGAGAGGATACATGGAGAGCCAAACTAGTGGAGGTGGCGACAAGAAACTTTCTAAGCCAACATGTCAGGGAACCCACTAGGATGAGCAGAAAAGTTTATCCCGGCCCAAAAGGTAAAAAATGAAATGCAGATGAGAAACCCATGGTTTAATCAGAGATATAGGCTAGCTAAGCAACAAAGTAAAAGAGCGTGGATAAACTATAGAAATAATAGAACACTAGAGAGCAGAGAACGTTGCCAGAGAGCCAGGAATGAATACGTCAGGGTGAGAATAGAGGCAGAAGGGCAATATGAAAACGACATAGCAAGCCCAACCCAAAACTGGTAGATAAACACTTCTTGAAACAACATAATACAGAACCAACAAGAGGAAGGGAAGATGACCCACCAGCCATGTTAGACTTGGTGTTTACCCAAAATGAGGCACAGGTAGAGAATATAGAGTATGAGATGACGCGGAAGGGGCAAGTGTTATCATGTTTCAGTACATAATGGAGCTAAAGGAACTGGATAGACAAAGAAACACGGAATATGAGAGACCACAGACGTGGAGACAACAGTAAGATGAGAGATTTACTGTGTGAAGTCCAGTGGAGAGAAGGCACTGGAAGGCTCGATGACAAATGAAGTGATGGAGAGCTAAACTATTGGATGTGGTAACAATAATCTTCCTGAGCCAACACGTACAGTGACCACAGAGTACTGACCAACCCGTCCTCTTAAAACAACGTCACTTTTCGCTCGTATGCGCGCTATGACCAAAAATGGATATAATTTAAAATGAAATTGGCTCACGAAAGTGAAGTAGTGGTCCGTTTTCTGTTGTGAGTCCTGTGACTTACTCGGTAAAGTTAGGAGAGGAAACTTTCAATTAACGTTTTTCATGACGTTTTGAAACTTTAGGAGAATTTCCTGCCCTCCTAACCTACCAGAGGACCCTTAACTTACTGTTTTAGAAAAAAAAAAATCTAAAATATATTTTCATTTTTTTTTTCAAATTACGTCCATTTTCGGTCGTACGAGCAAACGGCCAAATTGAGACGTAATTTATAAGAGGACATTACTGGCCATCCCCAGTGTTACCAACTTGGTGTACTGACTCAGAATATGCCTTAGAGTATACGTTAGATGTGAGTGGTTGAGATCACGTTACTGAAGAACAATGTCTTTTGTTCTTTAAGACTTAATCAAGAAAGCAGCCATGGTCAAGTCCCAATTATCACAGTTATATATTTATCACAACTCTGTTGCTTCAGAGAATTACAAATTGACTCCAAAAACTCAGATAAAACTCCTTCTGTATAAAATGTTTAATGATACGCACTTTATAATATCCCAACACTCCGAGCAGTACGACAATGAACTCAATCTTCACTCTACGTCTACTTGGCAAAGTCTACCAGGAAACAAACTCATAGAAAATGATTCATTCTCAATAAACCACAGAAAATGGTATTGTGCCTGCCAAATATTGAGAGACTAACATATTCTTCCCAATCTGTACACGACTTATTTGATTCTAATTATGACTCCCCGATGCATGGTTGTCTTAAATATATGCTCTTCACTAATAAATATAAACTTAAATATGTTTATCTTTAAAAGCCTTTCATATCACAGCTTCTCTGACAAGTTTTGACACTATTGAGTATTGATTACATGGAAATCTCTAGTGACAGATTATCTACAAATCCACAGTATCTAATTATATGGAAATCTTTAGTGACAGTATGTGTAAATCTATATTTACTGGTTATATGCAAATCTACAGTATATTATAGAATTAGTCGTATGGTAATAATACTAGAAGAAACGATTTTTGATGATGAACTAAATGTTGTTGATTGTGGTTTAGGGCGTGGGATTGGGAGTACCAAGTGTAAGGGTTCGAATCCTCCTAATGGCTCCTACTGATTGTCTCATTATGATTACTATCAGGTCATGTATAACTCAGAAAAGAAAGAACCCCTAGCCGCCAAGAATCTTACACTCACGGTGTGACACATTAGGAAATATAAGAGATCAAACTTCAAGAGGAAACACCCACCATACACCCCCCCCACCTACAAGATACTAAGACGGGCACCATCGACCCAAACATTCACAGAGGCTGTGGATGATACACAGCCACATACCTTCCCTTGAACTAGTTGTACACCTTCCCCCCAGACACCCCGGCCTCAACCACTGTACAGTACACCTCAACCCGCCAGCCAGGTCACCCAAGAACTGTACTTCAGACAATCGTCGCAAAAACGACCATTCTACACACAATATTTATCGTCCGTCACCAGTTTGGTCATAGTGTTTCTCTGCCTCCTATTACACCCAGGGCAGTAGATCAAGAAGCAGATGGCGTGTACAAGCGTGGAGGCGGCCCAACACGCTCCATCATGTCCTGCAACCCCCACCACACAACATTCCAACCTCTCGCAGACGTACAACATATGCAGTTGATCATCCTGGCCACCACCGTGCAAACAACCATCCGACTCGAAAAGATTCAACATATGTTATCGGGCGTTAACATCCAGAGAATCATGCAAGAAAGACTGCTACCATCCTGCACCAATGGGTCTTAAAACCGGCCTTTTGTATTACCACAAACTTCCCGCCAGTCCAAACATGGGTACAACTCTTCAACTGGCTGGCGGGAAGCACCACTATACACCAATACTGCACTACTGTTCCAGCATCTATAACCGGACTGCTGACAAACCATCCGAAGTACCTCAATTCCAAAAGAATACGGAGGGAACACATGCCACATCACCCACAACCGGAGCACCCAACCAATAACTCACTCGTAGAGCACCAAGGACCCGACGCGGTGGCGAACCCTGCCAAACTCCCTCTGAAATGTGACAACAAATATGGCAGCAACCTTCCAGTTCACGTCCACCAGACCAAGACCAGTCTGAGATCGATGCTCATACAACGATAACATACTTACCAGGACATACTTGCCCTTGCAGAGAAATCGGTAAATTGCACTATTCAGAGACTTTGCCACAGCCTTCTCGGCAGAAAGCAGTTTGTAAAATACAATATCTTCGACGGTACCCGCAAGTTGACCACTACCGCCCTCTCGTATATCGTCAAGTTCAGCACATCTTCTGTGCCAGGTAAGTCCACTACAGGCTCACCATAGCCCGTGCTGCTTGGAACGTTCTGTTCCCAGTAGCTGAATCTAAAACAACAACAACTTTGTCAACTTTTTACATGACCTCAACCCGACTGCCACGAACACCCACCGCTGTACCATCTCCCACGTCTCCTGCATCAATTCCTCAACACCAGGAAACCACCGAAGTTGCAAAGAATTTAACATCGACACAACCCTCAATCCTCCAACAGGACACTCCACCCGGGACGACCAGGTACCAACACCCATCAAACAGGTCTTATACTTATTATTTATATTTTTGTATTTATATATACAAGAGTTCTTACAATCTTATACAGTCACTAGCACGCGTTGCGTTTCAGGAAGGTTCTTAATCCAAATTTTCCCCGGAATCCGATTCGCCAAATTGTTTAACAACCAGGTACCTATTCACTGCTGGGTGGACAAAGGCTACAGTTAAGGATTGGCGCCCGGTTAATACTTCCCGGCCAGGATACGAACCCAGGCCAAAGCGCTCGCGAAGCGCCGGATGAGCGTCTTACCACTGCGACCCGGCACCTGCTCGACCATTTCAGACAGCCCCAGTCGCCTTCTCAAACCGACAGTTTCAAGTGCCCTTAAAAGGCCCTCATTCGAGCCCACGACCAAAGACGAATCTTCCACATATCCACACACCACCACCACCATCACCACAACAACAACCACAACCATCAGCCCAAGCGGTAACTTTGGAAACCCGACCGGCAACATAGGTGCCAGAACCTTACAAAGGAGCGCCAGCATGGTGTACAACGAACAGTGACATCGACAAGGTACACTATTGCCTCAGCGATCTCCCTAAAGTAAAATGTCATACGATTAATACATACACAATCCTGACAGTTCAAATACAGCATCTGTTCCCAATCCAAAATCCAGTCATTCACCCCTAAACGACGCGACACATCAAACAACAAACCCCATCGAAGGCCTTCGACTGGTCCAAACTGACCAGTGGTGCTAAAGTCCCATTACACTGGATACAATACACCACAACATGTTGTTGTTGTTGTGGTGGACCATGGACTGGCCCGGCGCCCCACAACTCTGCCCTCCTCAAAAACACACCTCCATTACCTCACTGAGTCACCATAGCCATAGCTACACTTAACAGTCTAGCTATCAATAATGGTAATGTCTTCTTACAGACATAATAGCATAAGATAAAAACCCACACTTATGTACTTGTTAAATTTATGTCAAAATTTACATCAATCACAAATTACTATGATTTACACCATATTAATACTAATATTTCCTCTATTAATAACAACTCCAGTTCTCAGAATATTCGGATTATAGAAAGGACACGTGATCATAATTCCTCAGACAACATTACGTTATCGGCAGATGGTAATAGTGGTGACCTGGGGCAGATTCACGAAGCAGTTACACGAGTACTTACGAACGTGTACATCTTACCTCAATCTTTGACGGCTTTGGTTACATTTATTAAACAGTTTACAAGCATGAAAACTTGCCTATCAACTGTTGTTATTGTGGAGTCTCACCTGAGCTGCCGTGCGGTGTAAACGTGTCGCTTGACCGCTCCGGCAGTTTGGGGTAGTTGCCGTTTTGGACGGCAGGGGGTGTGGGTGTCTCTACCCTCCCTGCTGTTCTTTGTGGTGTGGACGTGGCGTGTTTGCGATGGGCAGCCATCTTCCAGCTATCGTGAGGGTAAACTCCATAGGATTGGAGTTTACTGACCATGCGGGTTACCCGCTTGTGGACTTGGTCTTGAGTGACATGCTCAGGGTCCCGGTCCAGGATGTATACGGTGTCGAGCTTGATTCTTTCTCATTGTTCTTATTTTGTGTCTGCTGTGTTTTTCAATGGATTTACCGTGTTTGTACTTTGTTGTACTGTGCTGTCGGCCCTTCTGGCCGGTGGTTTATTGTTTTGTTTTGTTTTGTTATGTTTTCTCTGTTTTTATTGTATTTAAATTGCATGCTTTGCATGTAAAAAAAAAAAAGTTGTTATTGTTATAAACAGCCTCCTGGTGCTTCGGAGCTCACTAAGTGTTTAATAATTGTAAACAAAGCCGCCAAAGGTTGAGAAAAGATGTACAGGATCGTAAGTGTTTGCGTAACTGCTTCCTAAATCTAGCCCCAGGTCAGGTCAAGAAGGACAAGAGCACTAGACCCAGAATAACAGCCTCATTAGAGGCTTTCTGAACAACATCACCGTAAATATTAACGTTGTCATACATGAATTATCCTCCTGCAATGAAACTTCCCATACACTAATAGGCTTCTTATACAAAAAACGTTTTCAACAAATTAAAACAATCCATAGCGAAAAATGTGCAAGAAAAATGTATATTATTCCTGGAATTATACATTTATTGATAGGTGGGGGGGGGGGGAAGTTGGATGTGTTTATATTAAGGTGAGCACGTAGTTAAACTGTTCAAACATCTGGTATTGCCAACTCCCACGAGCTATGTTGAGTGCTAACTGCCCAATTATTGACTCCGTGTCTCTCTGGCTTGTTTACTTCGGGAGTGACGTAGTGGGTTGGCAGTCTTGGCAGAGGGCTGGCTCACTTAACATCAGCCAGTCCTATACAATATTGCTCCTTTGTACAACTGTGGCGAGTTGTTGGTTGTGTCTGACGTCTGATTGTCACTCGTCTTCCTCCCCTCGTATAACCTAACAGATTATATGATTATTCGTATTCTATTATCGCATCATATTATACTACTATGCATACATATAACCAGTTTTAGGAATCTGGACGTGTTGAACAACTTACAAGAAGGATTTTTCTCCACGGGCACAACCTAGAGACCAGGCTACTCTCAGTGTAAAGGTATGTACCCCAAGAGTTGAGCGGACAACATAACATTGTGGGTTTATCTTCGCTAAGCAGTCATGGGGATCCTAAAATTAAATTTACTTCAGCCTCTCTTGACTGTTTCGAGAGACCGGATTATAATTATATTTCAATTTCACGGGTTGGTGCAAGCCTCGTCCTCCCTCCATACTCTACAGCTCTCGTTGTTTGTCCCTCCAGCGTGTGACAACGCAAGAAACACCGCCGTTATTGGTAGGCTATTGTCATCCGGTTTTATTGATGGATATTTTGAACTAACGCTCTGAGTAACGAATAGAAGGAAGGGAACTATCAGCGGGAAAGCGCCAAGCCATTACGACTATATAGAACTGGGAAGGGGTCAGGATAAGGATTTGGAATTGGGGAAGGAATGGTGCCCAATCCTTGGACGGTCCGGGATTGAACGCCGACCTGCATGAAGCGAGACCGTCGCTCTACCGTCCATAACGAATGGGAAATTTATACTAATTTACGTCTGATAGTTGTAGGGTATTTGTATCCAGAAGACTCAAGAATGTAGTAAAGATCAGTTTCTAGTTTCGTAGTTTTCACTTATTTATGGGTAAAAATTATAACGATTTATAAAAATTAGTCTCTTCATATATTGTTATACCATTTTGGATGGTATATACTACTTTTATGATTAAATGACGATAATTTAATTTACCTGCAGTTTATTAATGTTGTTAATTTTACTACACAGGAATGAGCATATTATCCGGAGACCTATACTAAATATTAATTTGGTTTATTCGAGTGAGAGTTCTTGTTAGGAGTGTAACGATATCGATCAGAACACGTCTATATTTACAACCTCATTAGCACAATCAATTTCACACTGAAATATCATTCATTTCTTCCAAAATGAATACCTTTCCTCTCAATAGTTATGTACTCTATGAATTGCTATCAGCCATTCGTCAATACAGTTAGCTCTGCCATTTCTCAAACTCTCTTTTCCTCTCTTCTGTCTCTCCTCTCTATCTCTTAGCCCCTTTCCTCTCAACTGCTCTCACACACTTCCCTCTCCCTCCATATCCTTGCTCTCTTCAATGATCCTCACCCACTCCCTTCCCCCTCACTCTCTGTATTCTCTTACTCCCCTTCCGTCTCGTTCCTTCCCTTCATCTCACACCCCTTCCATCCCCCATACACTCGTCCTGCCCCTCTCTGACCTGTATATAGCCACAAACCTACGAGGGGCGTCTCTAAATTACTGCTTAAGCTCGGTATTTTTGGCCTTGTGGGTGAGGAGGAGGAATAAGAGGCGAAGTAGGTAAAAAGGTGAGTGAGAGAGAGAGAGAAAGATATATATATATATATATATATTACACGCAACTAAGACAGCGACGACAAAGTGGAGATAATGGAGCAGAGAAGCTGCATCACCTCCCGCTCTGCGCATCACAGTTTCACTGGGGGAAAAATCACTATGGTTCACTTGGTGTTGCTGGGGCTCTGCTGGATATTACCAAACTCCAAATGATTTTTGTTCTTGAATTTGAAATTGTACTCCTAAAAGCGCGTGTATGTGCTTGGGTTATGAGTATGGAATGTTGGGCAACCGGCGGGGAAAATATGACATGAAATAAAAAGTGGATAAAAAAAGAAAATTGAATATTACCAGAGATAGCAAATGCAAGAGAAAATAGCTACGGTCTTACGCTATGAACGGCTCGGGTCCCTCGTCGTGTTTTTACTTAAGTTTAATTCTTTTTAATACGAATTCCCCTTCGATGAGAACCATTTTGGAAAAAACAAATGAAGATTATCAAAGAATTGAGCGGTAAGAAATTTTGTCAAGACAGTTGAGAGGATTAGCAAGTAGAATAATATAATTTGTAATGGAAGTAGAAATAGTTCACCGGCAACTGTTGTGACCGTTGGGAGGGCGGGGAGTGCCGACGGTGGCGGGGAAAGTCAGTGTCCGACTGGCTGTTGAAGGGGAAGGGTGTGTGTGCCGTCTCTCCGCGCTATTCCGTGTATAACTGTGCCATAGTATGTCTCAAAGCCATTTCCACTTAATATAGTAATTGATGAAATACATTATTAATGCGCGTGGATCGACGGAAGTGGTTGGGGAGGCTCGTGGCGAGTGTAGTGATGGTAAACATTGACCTGAGGCGCGGGGCAGGGCTCTTGTGTGTGCCAGCAATGTGTAGAGTGGGGATGGGCGGCACCCATCACCGTGCTCACTGGCACCCATCACCGTGCTACTGGCACCCATCACTGTGCTCACTGGCACCCATCACCGTGCTACTGGCACCCATCACCGTGCTCACTGGCACCCATCACCGTGCTCACTGGCACCCATCACCGTGCTCACTGGCACCCATCACCGTGCACACTGGCACCCATCACCGTGCTCACTGGCACCCATCACCGTGCACACTGGCACCCATCACCGTGCACACTGGCATCCATCACCGTGCTCACTGGCACCCATCACCGTGCTCACTGGCACCCATCACCGTGCTCACTGCACCCATCACCGTGCTCACTGGCACCCATCACCGTGCTCACTGGCACCCATCACCGTGCTCACTGGCACCCATCACCGTGCTCACTGGCACCCATCACCGTGCTCACTGGCACCCATCACCGTGCTCACTGGCACCCATCACCGTGCTCACTGGCACCCATCACCGTGCTCACTGGCACCCATCACCGTGCTCACTGGCACCCATCACCGTACTCACGGGCACCCATCACCGTGCTCACTGGCACCCATCACCGTGCTCACTGGCACCCATCACCGTACTCACGGGCACCCATCAGTGCCCATCACCATGCTCTCGCCCATCACAGTGCCCGTCACCATTGTCTCACCCATCACAGTGCCCATCACCATTGTATCGCCCATCACCATTGTCTCACCCATCACAGTGCCCATCACCATTGTATCGCCCATCACAGTGCCCATCACCATTGTATTACCCATCACCATTCTCACCCATCACCATTGTATTACCCATCACCATTCTCACCCATCACTTTTTCCATCACCATTGACTCACCCATCATAGTGCCCATCACCATTCTCTCGCCCATTACTATTCTCTGACCCATTACTGCCCATCACCATTCTCTCACCCATTACTGCCTATCACCATTCTCTCACCCATTACTGCCCATCACCATTCTCAGGCATTACTGCCCATCACCATTCTCTCACCCATTACTGCCCATCACTATTCTCTCACCCATTACTGCCCATCACCATTCTCTCACCCATTACTGCCCATCACCATTCTCTCACCCATTACTGCCCCTCACCATTCTCTCACCCATCACAGTGCCCCTCACCATTCTCTCACCCATCACAGTGCCCTCAACATTCTCTCACCCATCATTAGAACATTCCTGTCCTAACAGAACATCGCCTTTTGACGTATACTGTACCTAAGGTCGATAATTATCGTGCTAGAAAACTGCAGCGGGTCGCGAAATTGACATACTGTCCCGTTTTCTGTTTTGGGTCCTCTGGTAGGTTAGGAGAGGACACTGGTACGACAGTTTCTTATCGTTGACCTTAGGAGGACAGGCTGCACCAGAACCCCACCCATGCCCCCACACCACACCCACATGCATCATCACATCACCCATCACCACAACATCACCCATCTACCACGACAGCTAAAGTTAATCCCTTTTATGTAAAGTGGGCGGAGAGCATTTTGAGTGAGGCCTTCATGTGGTGTGGCGGCCCCAGCAAAGGCAGCTGATGCGGTTGGAAAACATGACAACACTATTCCCCAAGGACATGCACTGGAAACCACTGGGCTGGCAACGTGACCACCCCTAATTACTAAGCCCATGCTTAAATGCAGTCGCGCCCACACTCTTCACGCCCACAGTAGTAAACTCGCCAAGCCCCCTCATCATCACCACGCCCACCACTGCTACACACTGGGAGCACCTCGTTCCATGCAACTTTTCGCCACTTTGCACCCTCGGCCACGCCCAACGTCCACATACACAGATCAACGCGCCCTCAATTGCAACACCCTGGTCAAGGTCAGTTTCATTAGGGGGCCATGGAACGCACGTGTCCATAATTGAAGGTTTTGGACAAGTGTTCCATTTGCTGGGTATTTTACATGAGCTCACAGTTTTGTGAAAGCTTGAGCACACAATGACAAACCATTGGGTCTAAAGAAGCCGTTTGTGTAATGAAGGCATATTGTAACATACTACACAAGAGCTTGGTTAACGGCGGCGCTCCTCCTTGTGGTATGAAAGGTTACGGAAATAACAAGAGGCTCACCTTGAGTCTTTAATCTTCTAGTTTTTCCCCGAAGTAACACAAGGCTCCGGTGGTAAATGTGGTAGGAATCGGAGGTGGCGAGGCTCCACACTACTGCCAGGAAGATGAAATAACCCCGAGGTCTTGCGGGTGGTGTCACATGTGCTTGCTACCTTGTGGTTGTCTTCTCTGCCAGAGGCGCGCTGCCCGTGATTGGCTGAATCACGCCCGGGGAGGGCGTGGCGCAGCCAATCACCTCCGGGCATAACCCGGAGGAAGGAAATGCTCCTGCCGGCGGGCAATTTAAATGTAGCTCCCTCCACAATACTAAATCCAATAGGATATAAGGTAGGATATGGTGGTATTTGTGTCCATGCATTTTTAAGGTTATGGACAACCATTTTTGTTTTATAATACCCACGATGATTTGTCATTTTTCTATTTTGGCGACGCTTTAAGCAATACTTAAATGTTGCTGTCTGAACGCCTCTGTAAAAGATGGCACGAATGGTATTAAGTGACGTCAGAGGAGCATGTGTTAGTTAATAAGCTTTGCAAATACCTTAGTTAGCACTAATCGTAGAACGTTTGTAGTTTTCCGAGCAGTAACCTGTCATATCAGGCAGCTCACCGCTCGTATAATACAAATTATAAGTGTAGAGGAAACTGCTGAAGGCATGACCCATGCACGGCTGCTCCTATTTATACCACAAAACTAATTCATATATATGTCTAATACACTTAGTCGGAAATTTGTCGTAATTACCAAATTATATATATATATATATATATATATATATATATATATATATATATATATATATATATATATATATATATGTCGTACCTAGTAGCCAGAACTCACTTCTCAGCCTACTATTCAAGGCCCGATTTGCCTAATAAGCCAAGTTTTCCTGAATTAATATATTTACTATTATTTTTTTTCTTATGAAATGATAAAGCAACCCTTTTCTCTATGTATGAGGTCAATTTTTTTTTATTGGAGTTAAAATTAACGTAGATATATGACCGAACCTAACCAACCCTACCTAACCTAACCTAACCTATATTTATAGGTAAGGTTAGGTTAGGTAGCCAAAAAAAGCTAGGTTAGGTTAGGTAGGTTAGGTAGACGAAAAAACATTAATTTATGAAAACTTGGCTTATTAGGCAAATCGGGCCTTGAATAGTAGGCTGAGAAGTGCGTTCTGGCTATTAGGTACGACATATATATATATATATATATATATATATATATATATATATATATATATATATATATATATATCGGTTTTATTTAAACTTTGTTACAAAAAAATAAGAATTACATATAAGGTACAAAGATGATTATCATAAGTTGTCGAGTTCATCCAGTTCCTCAGATTGCGGGCAAGAACCTGGAATTCAGTGTGCATTTCCCCTCTGAATCGCCACGCTGAGGCGCTGGAAAAAGAAGCTGGTAGCTATAGAGTCTCTTGTTTTAATTAACGTGGAACTCAGTTCCTTAAAAAAACTGGTGGCACTCCTACCCCCCAGGCGCCGAGTGTTTTAGAAGCAATGTTGCCACAATTGTAGTGGTGATCCAGTTCTCTGTACTTATTGGATTTGGCTGATTCCCTGTGAGTGGCAGCGCCACCCGGTTGTGCAACACTGAAGGCAATGTAGGTGTTAGCCAGGGTTGATACACACATGTAGTCTTATACCAACTGATTGCCATTCTTCCAGGGGTTCACTGTGATACCATCTGGGCGATCAATAAGAGCAGCATATATATATATATATATATATATATATATATATATATATATATATATATATATATATATATATACCAAATTCTGAAGCCAGAATTTACTAAATCACTAAAAACTAAAGGTTTTCTAAACACTAACAATTTTGTATATATAGCCTATCCCTTGAACGTATAATTTTCTCAATTGAACTGAAATATTTCCCATAATTTTAAAGCCATTGCTTTATGTTATGCTTGATTAGTGATTATTAAGTTATTTTTCTGAATCAAGGCTGATATACCCATTGATGGTTTTTACAGATTTGATAGAAATTTTAAAAACTAAACTGTTCTTTCACACAAAATTCAGACAATGTCCAAAATTTGTTTTGGTGTGACCTTCCTTTCTGAGCTGAATTACTTCCAATTTGTTCTCAAATATGGGGATTTGAAAAAAAATTATAAACAAGATTCTAGGTTAGGAGGCAACAACTAAATACACCATACAGATTGAGAATTACTCACAAGGGACGAATCTTTAATGATCTGTAAGTAGAATCTAAAATTTTATTGGCATTGTCTCATTAAGCCTCTCTAATGGTTGCCTGCTGGACTTTAATTTTTTTTTCGGGGGGGGGGGGGGGGGATTTCTAGTATGAATCGGGAACGGAATCGCTGTAATATAGGCTTATCAGTGCTTTATTTAGATAAACCGTTTGGACTTTGTGTTTTAATACAATATAAATCAGCAATGTAGACTGTATATACTGCCCGAAAACTTGACATGTAGATGCTCTGAAGACAAGTGAATGTATGAGGTTTGTGTAGATGTGCTGGCGAGTACTGTTTACTAGGTGACTGAAAATGAAATTGGCTAAAGTATCCAAATTTGTAATAACTTTATCAAATGATCACTTGATAGGTTCTCGTATACTATCCGAAAAAAATTACTAGTAACTATACTCTGTGGTCTGTAAGAGAGACCATTTTACTTATATTTACTCTCATGAGTTATGTGGT